TCTCCTGGGTGACATTTTGATACCCAGATCCCACCCCAGCCCTCGCCTCACCCCCCCCCCAGTCTCCACCATCCAACATCAGGCTTCACAGCACTTCGCACATCCACACATGCAAATGCTGCCTGCTGCTGCGACTGCCGAGCCCATACCTGTCACAGAGCTATCAAAGCTAACAGCTAAGGCTAGCACAAAGCAAGAGTGAGGGGGTTATACGGTTCTGTCTTTGGGGTATTTCTCGGCAGGTTTACAGCTATGTTCTCCAGCAAAACAGATAAGTAGAGATGGCAGAATATCACTTCTTTTCTTTTCCCAATACTGAAAGCAATATTGTTTGAATACTAGCTGATATTTATTAATTCTCTATCTATGAATCTATGTTTTAAAATGAGCTATTTTACTGAAGCACTTCACTTATGATGATCGTCTGAAAGTGGGCTATTATGCTCAAACTACTCTACTATGTTACTGGTGAAATGGGTGAAGAAACAGTTATGACATTCCCAAAAATGAGCATGTTCATCAGCTTCAGATGAAAAGTGGAAACTAGTGTTTTTGTTGCAGTGATATTTTACACATAGTAACCTGCACCAACTGTTTAAAACGTATTGAAAAAAGGAATAATTTATGCGAAAATGAAATCAACTTCACCACTCAAACTGTCTTTTCATGTTTTTGGTATCTTTCTATATCACAGAGTACAATTAGGCTGCCAAACTCTGGTAATGTTAGCTAGTTAAAGTTAATGTTCTCCATTCCAAGCAGGAGGCCTACTGAAACCTTTCAACTGCATGAACCAAAGGTTAATGTTAATGTTAGCTCACTTCACCTTTCAAATATTCTGAAAGTTAACGTTAGCAAAATTTAAAAGATCTAGTCTAACAGCAGAATTTTATGTAGCCACAAACGAGAATAAAAGAAATTACTACCAAGTTAAATTGACGCTGTAGCATCTGGCGATTACAGAGAACAAATCACTAATCACCTGCTTCAAATATCAAAATATGATCTGCAATGCTATTCTAATTCTGATTGGACAATAAAAATTAATGACTGTGATCTGCTGCTGTGCTGTATTAGGTGGAGGGGGAACTCTCCTTCAGAATTTTCTGCTGGCAGTAAAGCCCCCCCGGCCTCCCCCAAATTAAAAATTCATGAAATCTACATGATTCATGTGAACGGCATATTTATCATTCAAAATGGCAAGTTCTGCCAAAAGGCAATTATTTTGCATATACGTACTGGATTCGATGTTTTTTTCCTTTCTAATATTCGATCCAGCATTTTTTGCCAATATCGCCCCAGTACCTGATATCAGGTCAGTGATGTTCAACCTAAAGTTACTTAACGACTCAGCCTGAAGAGGGCAGTGATTCATTTAGAGTATCATACCTATGAGGAAAGTGAGGGTGAAAGAAAGAATAATAATTATGGCTAATAGTCCAAAATAAATAAATAAATAAATAAATAAATACTCCTCTTATAACGAAGGATAAAGCGTTTACATACAACATGTGCAAGCCTGACTTAGCAGTCTGCAGAAGCACAACATTACCCATGACCATGAGAAAAGAGAACATGTCCATTCTGAAGCAGCGGTCAGTAAAAAGTAGCTTTCTCTCTGTGCTGGTGTTTAATAAGCCAAACTATCCCTGAGGATGCACAGTTCACAGTGTAAGTGATTTGTCAGAATAAGCTAATGTTACTCTTGCAAAAATCACTAAAGCTCATCATGTTACATTATTACTGTTAGTCACTGGAATATTTTGAGGCGTATTAGTTTCTGTTCATTAGACGTGTTTAGGAGCTACTTCAGAAAACTACTGAAGACTCGGCAGCTCATCACAGCAAGCTAATCACACTCAACTGATTAATCAGCTTGAAATATAACTCATTTTAAAGATACAGTTTTCACAAAACGGCATCCGCTCATCATGGAAACCTCTACACTAGTCAAGCGAACTAGCAAGTTAAAATGTTAAACCAGTTAAATGATGCGGCAGCCTGAAGAGCTTTAATGTCCATCTACATATGTATTATTATAAAATTTATGTTTAGTGTTTAGGGTGTAAAAGGGTTGTTGTCACTTGGTCACTTGTTAACATCAAAACAGAGTTTAATATAGTGCAAAACATTAGAAAAATTTGTCCCTAGGAAGCTTGATTTTTCATAGTTTTTAATAGTTTAAGGTGCCATGAGTTCCAGTAAGACTGATCCACTGTTCTAGTAGAAGTCAAGGCTCGAGTCGAAAGTCAATATTAAACCCAGACTAGGAAAGAAATACTATTTTAAGGATGAGGACTCTCTCTCTCTCTCTCTCTCTCTCTCTCTCGCTCTCTCTCTCTCTCGCCTAGCTTCAGCAACTGCTCTAAAAATGGCAAAATGTAAGCTCAGTGGTGCATTCATTGGTAAGATCTGCCAAGATAAGCCATTCGAAATACATTTGCTAATAAGCATCACAATCCTAATTAGCCTTCTTTTTTTCGGTATTGGCCCTCTGTATCACCATTCATGTAACTGCAACAAACAATAACACAAACATCTGAATCGCTTTCGAAATGACTTCCACTTATTAGTGAGTTGTAATGCTCAGATTAAATGGGGAACAGTCCTGGTACATGGTAATGGTCTGGATTCTGTGACATGCCGTCACGAAGCGGAGTGTGCCCTGACTAAATGAAGCCCCAGCTGGGGAGTGAGGCTTCACTTCTCACTCTGTGCCTCTGAGACTCTGCTCAAGGATTCACCTAGAGATGTGGGAACATTTCTAATTATTGCTTTAATTACACTCCCACAGTTCCCCAGGGGAGGAGGCAAAATTATAGACTAATATTAGCACACTCACTCTGAATATATATTTTTTATTCATAAACTGATATGTGCACATTTACTTACACTTAATTCTCTGTACAACGTCCCTGTCTCCTTTTTCAAGGGAAGTCATTAGAAGCCTCAGTGTTATAATAAATGTAGGACTCACAGGGCCGAATTATCCACTATCGCCCTGCTCAATCATTAAATACCGAAATACCATGGCAAATACCATGCCATTATGAGCTGCACAGCAAATTTATAGCTAGGACTTTATCATTCCTAAGGATCTTTGTGAAGGAGATGTAGAGGAGAAATGGAGTCAGGGAGGGAGGTAATAACCACCAAGCCTTTGTTTCCACACAGCTCACTGAGGTGCACTTTGTTCTGAGGGACAAATGGATCCCAACCCGAAGGCCAACCTTAATCCTCACTTTAATCTGACACAGACCTCACTTCCTGCCTTGACCAAACAAAAGCTTTAAAGCAGGTCTGTCCTCAGAAGTTGACTTTCCAATCTCTGTCGTCCTCTTACGCAATGAAATTTCACTTTATTACAGTACCTGGACCACCTGTTGTTCCTTGCCAGATGGAGGAACTGAAGCACTGAAAACACCAACCGCTAAAAATCCTACACAGGTTTATTAAAGGGCCAATATCAAGAAATATAAATTTCTTTGTTTTTTTTGTAAATAAAAGTGTTTGAAGTAATATGTAAACACTGGGTCTCTTTCACCTCTTTCACTTTTCTTAAATTTGTTCTTGAGAAAGGTCCTAAGAAAAAGTCTATGTCAGATTTTTGACGTGATCTTAAACCACAGAATTGTTCGAACCTTTGTGCTCTTTCTGCTTTGTGCGCTTTAGATTCTAACATTACCTAAGAACAAACCACACATGAGAAAATATTGGTGAATGTCAGAATCTTCGTGAAAAGTGAGTAAGTGGGTTTCAAGAAGAAATTTCTTCTTAAGAATGGTTTGTGAATGAGGCCCATTATTTTAAAATGAACCCTTGACTCCCCTGTCCCAGATTAAGCTGTAAAAACAGCACAAAGTTCATTCATTCAAATTCATTGTTTTTGTGATGTAACAAAAATAATGATTTTTTAATATATCCAGCTATTAAGCCTATGGTACTGCTTTTTAAATGAGGCACAAATTCAGGGCAGCTAGTCAGAAAACAGGTAATTTTATGGCTCAAATATGAATAATTTTTATATCCAAATTACAATCTGAAATGCGACAGCTGCACTTTTAATTGCAGCCCTTATTATAAACACTCTTAAGTTAAACACCCATGTGCTGTGACATCACGACCACAACTAACTGGCAGTCTGGTGCACTACATTCCATGTTCAAGCCTCATGCCAAAAAAGTGGATATTTTGGTCTTCTTGACCAAAAAACCCAGGCCTGGACCTTAATTTGAAGAAAATAATCGCAAATTAAATCACAGTCACAGTACTGGTCAGAAAATTCAGAAAATAGGTCATTTAAGTCTTATGGCCTCTTTTCACTGTGTAGGCGAGCATGAGATGCTGCAAATAAAACCTTGGCCAAACTCAATGTCAGACTGTGCGGTTATACAGTACAGATTTTCTGGTGATAAATTTATGATGCAAGAAAATGACAGCATTTTGCGTGCACTTCTTTTTTGCCGCAAAATGGAGCCATGCAAGCAAATATCCCTCAGCATAATAGCAGCGATGCTTTGTGTGGAAAAAAAAAAAAAAGAAAATATTAAATGATTAAGAAGAAAAGACTGGAGCTGTTCTTGGCTTGGGGAAAAGAGCTACATGCAATATGCAACCTCCAAAAGTGAACTTGAGGTCAATAGGCTAATTAAGTTCCTCCACAATGAACCATTTTACATCAAATCACTCTGAATGACTGTGTCAGTGATTGAATTATGCAGAAATTAAAAAAAAGGAGGGGGAATTCTACTTTAATTCTATGGGATAAAGAGTGATGCAAAAATTAATTATGAAACTTTTAACAGAGAATAACAAACATATAAAGGCCTCAGGGAACAAAAAAAATAAAATGCATGAAAACTGTAGTATATGGGTCCTTTAATTATTATTCCTGCTAGTTACTACACTACTCTGCTCTGTACCGTACAGTTTACTGCACATCATTTTATTGCACTACTCTATGGTTTGCACTGATGCTGTACAAAAGTAAAACCTCATACCTCTTCCCACTGATGAATGTAGCGTATGAGTCTGGACAGCCTCAGCAGTCGCAACAGACTGAGTATCTTTGTGAAACGGACAATCCTGAGAGCACGGGCTGTTTTGTAGAAATCCGAATCAATCCGCGTCTCCACAATCAGGAAAATGTAGTCCACTGGGATGGAGGAGATGAAGTCCACCACGAACCATGAGCGGAGATACTTGATCTTAATCTGCTGTGGGTCCAATATAATCTCTGTGTTGTCCTCTTTCACAATGCCTGTGCGGAAGTTAAGCACCAGGTCCATGAGGAAGAAGGTGTCGGAGACCACGTTGAAGACGATCCAGGGCGGAGTGTGCTCGTCCTTGAAGAACGTGATGCCCACTGGAATGATAATCAGGTTTCCCACCATCAGCAGCAACATAGTGAGATCCCAGTAGAACCTGGAGAGAGAAGAGCATAAGAGGTCACGTCCACGGGACCAGTGGGACAGAGAGAGAGAGAGAGAGAGAGAGAGAGAGAGTGAAGGAAGATTATTTAAAATTGATCTTCTCAAATTTAGTTGCCAGTTTAAAAGGAACATCTTCCTTGTACCAACACTCTTTGGCTAATTTATCAGAAACACCTACCACATACAGTCTTAAACAGAAAGGTTTCTAAACAGTTCTTGGCTTGGATACACAAACCCTTAATTTTTATAGAGCCTTTAAATTATGCAGAGTTTCATTAAACTTTAAAATGTTATGCACCCTCGCACATCTGGCTCTTTTAAGAACTATGCACTGAATGATTCTTCAGGGAATAAAAACGGCTCTTCTACAGCAGTGCTGCAAATAACCTTTTATTTGTAGGACTGTATACGCACTTTGCAGCCTTGCAATTAGTGATTGTAGCTCCCTGACAGACTAAAGACTGTTGCAAATTGTGTTGCTGCACAATTTATCAGCAGAGGGGAACCCCCAAATCCTTCTAGGCCTTTAGAGAAGGCCCAGTGATTACTGTGCAATAAAAATGTCTGCAATTTTTAGTTTGTTTTTATATAATTATCATGTCTGCTGTTTTTAAGCTCTGTTTGTATTTTTATAATACACTTAGTTTTTGTTGGAAACAAAAGGGTTAATTTCTTGAAATTCCCAACAGGAAATTATCCAATCAGGATTTTTTGCTCTGTGGTGTCTAGGTAGGTAAGGCTGAGTGAGCTTCCCCATTGGTTAGGACTTCAGGAGCTGAACTAAAGGCCTCACACATTAGTTCTGTACTGAGTCACTGTAAAACTCCTACATGCAAGGAAAATATAAGTTAATATTAGAGCCAGTTTAATGGGACAGTTCATATTCCTCAAATCATATTATAAACTAGAGGGCATCTGTGAGTGAATCCATAATGAATGGAAGTGAATGGAACTAAATGGCTAAACTTTTTTCTTACTTCTGTTCATTTTGGACAGTAGAAGGATGTATTACATAAAAAAGAAAAATTACTGGCATTTTTCCATTTTTCTACAGCAAACAGGTTTTGGGCAGCAGGATGCTAGCATAACTGCTACTGAATGCTGACTGGTTGGTGAGCTGATCAGCTCATTGGCTGAGTGAAATGGTTCTCGCTCACTGACACTGAACGAGACAGACGTGCTGAGAGACACTGACGTACATGAGGCACTGTTAGATACACCTATGTTGTATATAGTTGTTCTGTATTCAGAGTTTCTGTCTGTATAAAAATGATTAGGCATTTACAAGCTACATTTTTGCACAAAATCACTCATTCATTTTGGACTAGCTTGGGAGTGTCTTCTACTGTTTGGGAAACAAAAAAGACATTATTGAGTGGCAGTTCTCCTCCATACACATCGTTTGGTTAATGTATTTGTTATAAGCTTCAACTAAAATGTGGAATGTCTTCAAATGTCCATGTTAAATCTAGAACAGGGGAAAAATGTTTGCCGTTAGCCTAATGCTAACACATTAGTCTCAAACAGGGGCGCTGGCAGATATTAGCATTTCCAAACTGAAGGTCTAGCTCTAACAGTTACACTTCACCACTGTTTTTCAGCCCAGCAATGGAAAGAGATCACCAAAGGACCACAGATGTTATTTAGGTAGTGAACCATTTTCAGCACAGCAGTGACACTTACTTGGTAGTGACATAGTATATGGTGCTCCTACGAGTGCATAACGCTAAGTTTACAGTAAAACGCATGCTGTAAAGGCCTGGACACCTAAAGCAGAAATACTGCGAGAATGCACTGACTGCACTGAGCTTTCCCTAATTGAACCTCTCAGCCTAGAAAAGCATTTGATTATATGCTGATGAGTACAACTTTGTAATATCAGCTCTTCATTAATCACAAACATCACTGAAGACAGAGCATTCATGCCACAGTGGCTCCTCTGACTGGTTTACAATGAGATCATTTCAGACATAAAATTATCTCATGAATATCTCTTTCACTTCCGCTCCATTTTATAGTGACTATAATGCAAATTTCTTCTCCAGCTGTACACTTTACTGTACACTTCCTGCATTAGTCCTGTTACTGAACGCTTTTATGTGACAATTTAATTATGCACATGCCTCCACGTACACTATATTTTTCAAGCTGAATGAATCAAATTTGATTGTTCATGCACAGAATATTCAAGGCATTCACACCAAGGAATTGCAAATGTAGTTTTCTTCTGCACCAAATTTAGAAACAAAGCACAACGTATATCGCCCCAAGGTCTGCACATACACCAACAGAATACAGCACATACCGCACTACATTTGTGCAGATAATCGTTCTGTATGCTAATTCTAATTCAATTTCTCCAAATATCCTTCACTATGTGTTTTATCCATGAATATCCTTGAATCTTTGGCAGGATACACTGAGATTAATTGCTCTTGGACCACCTGGTATTGGATTCTACTTATATACTGACTGGTGTACTGTTCTCGAGGGTAAGCTGGGGTAAGGGGCATATTACTACGCATGCCCCAACGTCTTTCATTCCCACGGTGTGTGTGGTGTGCGTTTAGTTATAAATTGCCCTCTCGGTCCAGTTGGTAATTGAATCCAGATTGGCTTTGTTGTGGAGCCGGGTGATATATTCTTACTGCTCTATAGGCTGCGGAGACAGAAGGTTTGTATTGTGAGCTGTTCTTGCGGGCGCAGGAGATTTACACTCCCTGGTTTAAACCAGCTCATAAAACAAACTGAATAAAAAAAAACAAACAATAGCTGCAGTAGTAACACACACAGAGTCTGGACAGTTTCACAGTGTTGGTATCCTGGTAGTGCTAAGCGCTGTCGATTCAATATCAATATCTTCCCAATCTATTATGATTTTAGATGCTATTTAAGTTTGCATTAATAAAGTTAAGGACTTGATGGCTAATGCCTACCTAAGTGCTGCTACTGCTATTGAAAGAATGTCTTATAAACCTGTTATTGCTGTTTTGATTGGACTGTTTTGCTCTTTTTTTGTGTTCTCTTAAACACTCTAAGCAAAAAGGTTTCTATATAACACCAAAAAAAGGTTCAATGGATTACAGTAGCTAACAATATGACTAACTATATAGGAACCATTTTCTTTACATAGGACAAGTTTCTTTATAGAACATACAGGTTTATACAGAAGGTTTTCCATCACTGAGAAGAACCATTTTATCATGCAAAGAACCATTTGCTTTATTTATTTATTTATTTATTTATTAATTCATTGATTGATCAATTGAGTTGTCATGGTTCTATATACAACCATTGCCTTTACTAAAGAACCTCAAACAACTCATTTTCAAAGGGTGAACATTACACATTGTTTTAAACATTAACAGGAACATTATTTTAATCATTTATTTACTAATCTGGTTGCCTTAAAACATCAGTTCACTGATAATCAAATAATAACAATCATCTGGGTTTTACAATTTGCTTATTGTTAAAGGGCCCATATCTCACATTTTTCTATATATCACAATTTTTTGTAATTTAATATTCATTTGAATTTAATATAATTAATAAACAAGGACATGGCCAGGAATGGCAAGTATAAAGCCCCCCTCTGTCCTCCACCTACCCATACCCATCCTGCACATCTACCCCGTTAACTTACTATTTAAAGTCAAAACTTTAAGGCACCTCCTGACTCCAATGCACTCCTGACTCCTGGAATTCCACTGATTTTTCTGAATTCTTACATAATTCATTTGCTGAGATGTAAACATTTGATGTGAAATGGTTCATTGTTGAGAAACGTTGATTTCTTTACAGTGGTGATGACCGAAACCAGGGATCATGATGACTACAATGTAAAATATCTGTTTTATTTACTATCCCAATGACAAGTGAACCTACATGTTTTCTGAGGTTTTATATTCATATATATATATATATATATATATATATATATATATATAAAGTTTTCTTTGGTTACTGTTTTGCCTTACATCATCCTGCATGTACCTCTTAGCTCTGCATTGTCTGCAATGTATCGGTCCTTTGGTAGTATATGCGTTGTAGCAGCCAAAAAACAGCCAATAAAATACCACTAAAATCACCACTAAAATGGAGATTTTTTTGAACTATGAACTAAAACCATCTGAAACATCAAGCAAGTAATCTAAATCCTAAATTACACTTCAACTTTTGTTAGCTATCAATATCTGTAAAACTAATGAATAATCAATATTTTTGTGTGACACCAATGCCCCTGCATACTGGTGTAGATGATAAATCGGTCACAGCTATATCCTGGAGTGGAAGGCCTCATGCTGGATGCAAACATCCAGCCTCTTTTTTCAGGAAGAACTTTCAGCTATTTGTGGACAAATTGCGCTAGACTGAATAAACACTAATTACAGAGTAAATTACATACACAGCTGCCTGAGATGCTTGAGCTACATTGTGGATGGATTAGCGTAGACGCACACACACACACATAGACACACATTCAAAGCACTGACAGTAATTGGAATTCTTCAAAGTAACAAGGGTATCCACTGTTTCAGATCGCTGTCAGGCTGCGTTATATTTAGCGCGACGTTCCTGACACTGTTTGCTCCTGTTGAGATTTAAAACCCGAGAGGTCGGCAGACACTTCAAAGGGAACAGCGTGCACACCGGTAATGACATTTGTTCTTCCAATCTCGCCATTCTCCTGCATCGCACAATGTCACAAACCCTGGGCCGCGAGATTATGCGCACACAAAGCAGACCTGGGCCGGGGAAAGACTCTGATAAGTGCTAATGGATGCGCTGTCTGTCCTCCCGTCCCGTTCGCCACCGTCCCAACAGCGCTCTGGACTGGAGCTCCAGCTTCAGCTTCAAGCCACTGCATACGCTTGGCAGACACGTCTATCTGGGCTGGAGGGAGTTCCTTCTCTATCTGAGCCCTGTAAAACGCTGATAATGAGCCGTAGCAGGAGTTGTCAAGGTAGAGAAGGACAGGTAATTACTCTA